AGAGAGAGAGAGAGAACACACACACACACACACACACACACACACACACACACATACACACACGGTGAGGGACATGATCAATATAGTTGTGCAATGGCAGGAACATAAAATTTGTTGTTGCTTTGGGTTTTCTTTTCCAGACAGGACTTCTCTGTGTAGCCCTGGATATCCAGGAACTCACTGTATAGATCAGGTTGGCCTTGAACTCAACAGCAATCCACCTGCATCTGCCTCCTGAACGTGTGTGCCACCGATGCCTGGTGCTTGGGTTTTCTTAAAAGCAAAAGGTTTTTTTTTTTTTCCATGACTCTAGAATCTCTTGTGTTCAGACTGGTTAGTTTAGGGATCGACTTACTGCCTTAGGATGTGTCAGTTTGTCCAGAGTGGATAGATGATTCTGGAGACACAGGTAGATGACAGAGAGTAAGAGAGGGCTTTTCAAGGAGCAAGAAGAATGTCTTCAGCCAAAACAAACAGGAAGACAGATGGGCCAATGGAAGAACCAAAACTGTGCTGGGCTGCCCTCAGACAGTTCTCATGAGCTGAGTCTATGGGAATGTCCAGGAGGAAGGACAGCTGTGGGGACGTGGGTCCCCAAGGAGGCCTGGAGTTCAATGGGTAAACAGCAACTGTCCTCTGCCAAATATAATACTTTGAAACTTTGAATACTTTGATTGTGAACTGAAGTCCGATAGTGTGTGGCAGAACCACAGAAGCAATAGCTAATTCTTACCACAGACTAGGGCACGGTATGTATCCCAGAGACCAAGAGAAGGACATTTTTAAAGAAGGGAAATAGTTGTCCATGGTGGACAGAGCTGAGCAGTTCTAGGAATGAGGGTCCTGGATTTGAGCAGCAACAAAGTCACTCATGTTTCTCAAATAAAAGAGAAATTTTGGCAAAACGTTGGGTGCGAGGCTAAAGGTAAGAGGTGAGAGGAAGGGCGGGGATGCAGTGAAGGGCGGAGGAATGGCATGACTAAACCAAGAGATTTCAAGAAGCACTGAAGATTCTGGCACGAGATGGACGCCATAAAGACAGCTACATGGATGATACTGAAGAAGAGAAAGTTCAGGCTAGGACTTTTAAAAGTGTTTCTTTTGACTAGCTTGCCAAAAGGTCGTAGTGGTGGGGAGGTAGCTCTGACTGAAGGATGCTCTCTCCTCTGGCCAAGGGGACTGACATGGATACAGTCTATAGAACAAGTCTAGGTGTAATTTAAATTTCCGCCACGAGGTGGCAGTGCTTCACCACAAATCAAGTGCAATCCAGGGTTCAGCGTGGACTTAGGTTGTTGAAAATCTGTTAGCTTCTTCCATTTTCTATCTGAAATTGTGAAAAGGAGCAGGGTAGGGTGGGTGGCTCATGCTTGCGATCCCAGGACTCCAAAGGCCAAGGCAGAAGGAGCATGGCTTTAGGACCAGTCTGGGCCACATAGAGACGCTGGCCTTATCAAAAAGTGCATAAAATTATCTAGTGTCTGGTTTTCTCTTTACTGAAGCACTCAGATGCTGCCTTCTGTTTTCAGTATCAATGGCTGCCATGCAAATCCTTAAACCAATTGTCTGGATAGAGTAATACTTAGGCACTGCTCTGAACGTCCAAGAAGTATATCAAGCTTTTCTTGCGCACTTTGTAACAGTCTACCTGAAGGGGAGGGTGAGGATTGCCATTCACATCGTGTATTCTGCATTTACACACAGAGTGGAGAAGGTGGGGCTCTGGTTCCGTGCCCTCTCAGTATCATATGGCCCCACCTTTTAAAAAAATGATTTTGTTTATTACACACACACACACACACACACGATAGCACACATGTAGAGATCAGAGAATAGCTCTCTCCTTCCATCATGTGGACTCCTGTGAGCTCAGGTCATCAGGCTTGGCCAAGGTGCCTTAAACACAATGGGCCATCTGCCAGTCTTACCCTTTACTTAATTTTTAAATATTTATTGTGTGTGTGTGTGTATGTTACCTTCATGTATGCATACACACCATTCAAATGCTTGGTGCTCTGGAACTGGAGATGCAGACACTTGTGAGCCACCATGTGGGTGCTGGGACACAAGCCCTCATCCTCTGGAAGGGCAGTGGGTGCTTTTAACCTCTGAACCATCTCTATGGCCGCTTGCCCACTGCTTTTTTTTTTTTAATGTGATTTTTTATTTATTAATTTATTTATTTTTTGGTTCTTCGAGACAGGGTTTCTCTGTGTAGCCCTGGCTGTCCTGGAACTCACTCTGTAGACCAGGCTAGCCTTGAACTCAGAAATCCACCTGCCTCTGCCTCCCAAGTGCTGGGATTAAAGGCGTGTGCCACCACCGCCCAGCGATTTTTTTTAATGATTTATTTATTTTATATATGTGAGTACTACTGTTGCTGTCTTTAGGTACACCAGAAGAGGACATCAGATCCCATTACAGATGGTTGTGAGCCACCATGTGGTTGCTGGGAATTGAACTCAGGACCTTTGGAAGAGCAGTCAGTGCTCTTAACCACTGAGCCATCTCTCTAGCCCGACCTCTGCTTTTGTAAGCATTCCTCATTGTCCAGGAATGACCTGGGATAGGGTACAATCCCTGCTGCTGGCACCAAAAATTAGTGGGTGCTGTTCTCTGTCCCTGATCCGACTGGGCGGGGCTCTCCTCTGTTGTGACCCTGGGTGAGAACAATGATTGGATGTGAACATCTGTAGAACAGAGTCTGACATCCATTACATCTGGGGATGAGCAGAAGATCAAATAAAAGAGCCATCGCCCTAGAACTGAGTTGTTTACTGGACCAGCACAGGCCTCAGATCCAGCGTCTACAGACTTGGCATGTGAGCAGAGCAGAATGCAGATGAGGGTAAAAATATACATAGAGTTTGACAGTGCTTTTGAGTAAATTACAGTATTACAAAAAGCAGATGGAGATATATACATACATACATACGTACATACACACATACACATATACTCATATGCACGCACACATGCAGACAGGTGGGAGGGGAAGACACACATACAGAGACAGACAAACAGACAGACAGACAGACAGACAGACAGACAGACAGACTCATGCTTATGTGGAGGCCTTTTTACTTCTGAATCAGCATGGGCATATTATTTTCCTATGTTGTGAGGATGAAGTGTGTTGGCTGGCAGTGTAGCTCAGCGGTAGAACAGTTTTCTAGCTTATACAAGGTCCTGGGCTCAATCCCCAACACCGAGAAAATTAATTAATTGATTAATTAATGTTAAAATTAAATACAATCAAGAGAAACGGAATGAGTTGGTGAGACATGGGCTTTGACCTTGTCTCACTCAACTACCACCTGCTTCATTATTTCTCAACTCCAGACACAGCTGATTCCTGGCATCCATTTACTCCAAAAAGAGTCATCCGATGGGTGTCCTGCTGCTGGCATTTGCTCTGTGGCTGTATTTGTCTTACTGTGTGAAGCAGAACTCTGCAGAAACAATAACCACAGTAACAGAGAGACATAAAAGCCTATCGTGGGGTGCCAGACTGGTCTGACAGGCATGCACACACATTCATTCTGGGGTGAGCCCCGGGAGTGCCCACCAGACACTTTAGTGTGTCCTTCATCTATGGGGTTCCCAGGGTGGGGCCATAAAGCCAAACGCTTTCTTCACTGCGGTCCAGATTTGCCTTGTGGTCTCAGCCATTTTGTGGTCCTTAATTTTCCTTTTGAAGCTCTGTAGCTCGTCTTCAAACTGGAAATGAGAGGTATAAAGAACTTTGGCACAGCTTGAATTCCCACCAGCCCCGGGCTGGTCTCCGACCTCTGGGCTGCAAGGATTTGCAGCTAGTGTTTCCTCAAGGATACAGTTTATATTCACTGGACAGCTTTGTCTTCTGGGCTGATTATTTTATATTTCAGGTGACATGGTTCCGATGAGGTCGTTTTGGCTAAACTCCTTGTCTCTTTACTGTTGCTATTAGGATTATATGTATCACGTGGTGAGCGCCATCTGTGAGTGGACCGTGGCTTTTGGTTTTATTTTCTATTTCCTAACATTCATCCAAGATTTCCAGGTAAGGATTTAATCGATTCAAATGTTATATGAATCCCTTATAATTAGGATTAGTAAGAATTTAGAAAAGTTCTTGATTTTTGAGAAACATTCCGGCTTTACCCTTATAATGTGTTTGGGTGGCAGGAGGCTTGTGTGCTACATGACATTATTAGTTTGCTTCCAAAAGGGAGCGACGTTAGACACACAGGTCTTCACCAATGAAACCTTCATGTTATCTGACGTTCAATGCTCAAAGTCCAGGCTGTATTCAGGTAGCCCTCACTAGTTCCAAAGACCAGAAAATATGACTGTGTAAAAAAAAAAAATTGTGCTGTTGAAAAACATTCCTAAGACCCAGGGAATGTAAGACAGGATATTGGATCCCAGGGAGACACTCACCTCCTAGAACAAGTAAGTTACTGGCTAACATGACGAAGCTGAGAGAATCCTTCAGGACCAAGCATGGCAGGATACTGGGAGTCTCCTGTTAGGTGGGAGAAAGCTTCTGAGAATGTCATGACTGAACTCTGGGATTGTTTCCTTTGTTTTCTTTGATGTTCCTCTTCCCCTGTCTCCGTAGAGTGTCACCCTAAGGATATCCACAGAAATCAATGATGACTTTTGAAAGAGCGAGAATCCTGTCTCACTCAGGGAGTGTCACAGACAGTTTCTGGAAGTGGACAGAGGATGGACGGGCTTGGATGTCACCCTGATCGGGACATATCTGTGGCACATCCGGGACTTGAATTTCATTAAGAATTCCTAGTAGTTGTTCAATTTACAAAGGTATGTTTCCCCGGAGAATGGACAGCACCGACGACACTGTAGCAATATTTCTATATTTTCTAAGACAATCTTTTACGAACAGGTTCATTTGCAGAGAAGACAAGGCATTACGGAGAGTGGAGGATTATTCTTGTATAGATTCTTTAGGCTTTTTATGTAAGAATGATTTATGAAAATACACTAAGAGAAAAAATGCTGAGTTTAGTACTTTTTATTAAAGAAGACAAATCAGGGGATATTCATTTTAAAATTTCATTTTTTTAAATATAATGACCTGCATACATTTTCATCACAAGAGCATTTAAACAATTCAATCCATAGTGATCATATACCCTAATGGTACAGATTTAGGTAATAAATGGACACTCGAAGCACTCTGAGTTCTACTCTGAGTTTTCAGTGCATTAAACAAATGCGTTTACAGTTAAGGCCTCCAAACTGTTTACAGTGCTCATTAACTAGTGAATGTGGAAGACCTCGGTTTGAAAATTGAGCCTCCTCATTTGCTTCTCCCAGGAAGCTACAGCTTTACTGCCGCTGTTAACTGGTGGGCCCGGGAGCTAATTCCAGGTAGGATGGACGAACGGGGCAGCTTAGAAATGGTAAAACTGCCCTTCGCATCACAGGTTAGACTCACTTCCCAGTTTCCCTGTAAGCCAGTCAAAGAGAACGCAGATCCAAGTCAGGGAGAAAGGAGAGCGCCCATAGAAACTTCCAGGGGTAGGTAGGCCGCTGTTTCTTTGCTCCGTTCAATGCCTGTGGCCACTGTTCTATGACACTATAGAGGAAGTGAGTCAGGCCCTTTCCTATGCAAGGCCTGGAGATTCCACCTTCCATCCAGTTCACCAATGGCAAAGAAACGCTAGCTGTTGTCAAGTGGCTAACAAGACCCCCAAGTTTCATATCTAAGTCTGGGCAAGCGGGAGCTGCCCCGAGGGCACGTGCCAAGGGCAGGGCAGCCCATTTGAACATTTTTGGTGAAGGGGCATCCGGAGATCCAGGGGCATTCGTCTCCTTTGGCTACTAAGTGAAGGGTGGGGCTCAGCATCCACTTCCTCTGTGACATCCTGTGTCCTCCTCAGTGTGCAGTGGTGACAGCAACATCCATTTTGGAGTCCCCTGTAACTTTTCACAGTACTGAACATCCCCACTGTAATCCAGAAACAGAAAGACAGTGGCTGTCATTCTGATGAGAAAGACAAGCCACTACGTTTCCTGTGGAAACTGTCATGGACTGAATCCATGCCATTCTTTGCTTTGAGCAGGAACACTGTTGATGTTTTCCCAGAATGCACGTGGCTGTCTTTGCTTCCACTGGAGACCTGACAATGTGCCTTTACCCAGAGTGGAACACAGTGCCTTCTGGCACACAATAGGTGCTTAATAAATACTCATTGAATGTATACATGCATAAATGAATGAACAATTCAAGTAATGACTAAGGATGTTTGAGGTGCTAAGGGGTTTATTTACTTCTAGTTCACGGTTATTCTAATGTCAACAGCTAGTCTGTGCCAGTTAGTAATGTTGTCTGTTTTGCTTTGTGAACTCGTTTCAACCTGTTCCAGTTGTGTGGGCTTCATGATTCTGTGACAACTCTCTTCTGGACAGATACCAAAGAAATTGTTATATGGGCTAGACCTGTCTTGGCAAACCGAGAAGGCCCCAAATCACCCCAAGTCACACTCTACAGATTCCACTCGACTTCTAATGTTAACCCCCGTTTTGGTGTTTTTTTATTTTTTTATTTTTATTTTTATTTTTATTTCTACAAATGTGTATTTCCTTGGACTTTGTACCTGAGAAAATAAAGTAAAATATTTCTTTATTTTAATAATTTGTCTCGGTTATGTTATAAGCTGTCACCTGGGGGCTGTTATGAAGTATGGTTATCTGGGCTGGTTCTGAATTGCTGGATGTTTGTTGTAAGGGTGTGGCTTGGCCTGGGGAGATGACTCAGTGGTCGAGAGCCCTCAAGCATGAAGGCCTGAGTTTGGCTCTCTAGCGCTCACATAAAAGCTGAATGTGTCAACGGACCCTGACAGCCCAGTCCTGAGAGGGGACCAGGAGTTGAGAGGATCCCTGTGGCCTGCTGGACAGGCGGCCTAGCAGAAAAACAGAGAGCACTGGGTTCATCGCGAGGGCCTGTTTCTAGGAAATAAGACAGTGTGATAAGAAGCCGACACCAGACACCCTTCGGCCTTTGCATGCACACACATGTGTACACCCCAGATACACAGAAATACATGCATAAAAGTAAAGATGCGGTTTAACCCCTGTCCCTTCTTGGTTCACGCAGTGTTGTTGTATGTGGGCTGGATCTGCCCCTCTTTGTAGACTCATTGTACGTGGGCACGATCAGCTCGTCTTTGTAGATTCTGAAACTGCTTCAGAATTTTGTATCAGTCAAGACTCCTGGGGGTACAGGCTTCAGAAAGCCACTTCTGCTCAACGACAAGAGCATCAGCTCTCAGGTCACAGCGCAGAACTGGTTGGAGGGGACTGCAGGATTGAAAGGTACCGCTGGGACTCATCTGCTGCCCTGCTTTCTTCCTGGTTGCTGTTTTTAGGCAGCCTTTCCTCAGGAGGAGTGAGGAGGCGTATAAAACTCTCAAGCCTGCAGCCTTTACCCATCCAGGAGAGATGATAACAATCTCTAAAAAAATAGTCCGACCAAAATGCTCGGACTTGAAACTTCTTGCCTCTGATTGGTTAGTTTAGGTCACGTGACCTATGGGTTTGCTCTGATTGGTCACATGTCTATCTCTAGGTGAAGGAGCTGTCAGCATCTTGCAAAACCTATGAACTGATGCTGGGTAAAGCTCTCTTCTGAAGAAAGGTATAGAAAACAGGCCTTGGACAGGTAAACAAACAAAAGCCCAAGTTGCTTGACGGTAAACCAAGCTGTACTCATTACTAATCTTTCAGATTAAAAAAAAAAGTAAAAATAAGTCATTTCAGTAACACATGCCTTTTGTTAACATGTAAGTCAAGGTTCCTACGTTTCTATCCAACTCTGTTAAGTTGACTAGGCAATTATCTATCATATTTTCAGATGAGGAAACTAACAGAGTGGTCCAGCGACCTGTGAGCAGTCTCCAGCCCGATGGCGACAGACTCCAGTCAGATGATGGCAATAGATTCCAGTCCCGACTCTGTTTTCCCTATTCTATTCAACTGAGCCCCTTTGTTTTCCCTTTTAACACTAACAGAGGATTCCACAGAAATTGCAAATTGCATTTTATAAACCAAATTAAGTACATCAGTGCTGAACTGTGTTTGGGTTTCCTAACATCCCTTACATGTGGCGTTGTCCCGTGTTCCCATTTTTTTTTCTTGCTTGGAGACGTACTGGTCTGGTGTTTGAGCCTGGAATGAGGAGAGGGGGGTGGGAGGGAGATAAGTGGTCCCCGGTCCTCTCCCTCTCCGTGATTCTGGCAAGCTGGTGAAGCCAGCTGTCTCCCCACACACATACTCTTGGTCTGGCTCTGAATACCCCACATTCTCAAGTCCAGAATGTCATGCATCTGCCTCATGCTGGTTGCACAAGAGAGCAACCGCACTGAGGCCCCGGAGGGGAAGCTGCTCGCTCCCCTTGGTCACCCCCAGCAGATTCGTGTTCTAAAACGAAGGGCAACAGAACCTCATGCCTGTATTGGAGATGGCAGCGACCTCCAAGGTCGATGCTTGCAAAAGGCTGGAGGGAGACACCAGCAATCTTATGAGGTTGAGGCCAGGGTGCCCAGAGGTGCCTTGGGAAAGCCTGTGATGTAGGCACACCTCTCAGCAAGCAGTTTGGTGTGCTACCCCAGCCCCGAGCAGGCTTCACCTCTGTATTTTTCAGGTAGAAGTGGATTGTTGTTCTCTGATAGGAAAGGTCTGTTAAGAAAACAGGACCTAGTTCTGGAGTCCAGGCTGGCCTGAACCTAACTCTCCAGCCTCGAATTTGCAGCAATCCCGTTTCTTCCAAATGCTGAGATTACAGGTGTTAGTCACTCTACCCAGCTCAAGATACAGTCCTGACGTTGTAGCAGTAAGATTCCTAACTGATACAATTAAGTGTGTGTGTGGGGGTGTCCTGCTAATGACAGTTCTGTGACCTACTGCTGCTCATATAGTTTGGTCAGAAAACAATTCCAAGGTAAGTGGGATTTGGTTGCATATGCTCTTAATCCTTTGAACCATTTGTTCTTAAACTTTTAAATCAATGACATATTACCAATTGATTTTAGCCTCAGCAGCACCGAATGATGTACGACCCGAGACGCCAACTTACTCTGCACACAGAGAAGGACAGGAGGGGAAGTGGACATGAAATCCCAACCATAGCTGGAGAACTATCAGCAATTGGTCTCTGCAGGGTGGAGCAAGTCAGTTTTCTTTAAGAGTGGAGCCCCTGGCAAGTCAAGCAACTTCACTTGAAAGCCACATACCCAAGAATATATGCTGCATAAGTTGGGCTCGAAGAGTTGAAAAAACACATTGGGGAAATGGGGGAGGGGTGGGTCAAAGGGGATGGGGAGAGGGTGAATGTGATCAAGAACTAGAAAAATTGAGAGAGAGATGAGGGGAGGGGAGGGAGAAGAAGGGGAAGCCTGGAACTTAGTTAAAAAAAGAAAAAAGCCAGGAATGATGGTTACAATGATCCTATATTTGGGAAGCGGAGTTAGGAGGACCATGAGTTTGTGGTTAGCCTGCTCTTGATAGTGAGTTCTAGGCTGGGTATATAATGAGATCCTGTTAAAACAAATCAGGACAGCAGTACTTTTAACATTCATATAAGTAAATGAGCCTTAGGTACTTCAGATGGTTAATGTAAGCAAATATCGTGGGAGATTGGATCCTCCAGATAGAAAAATCTTGTGGTTAAAAGTTTTTGTTTTTTTTGTTTTCTCCCTGTGTTAGTAACTTTACATATTGTTGGGGCAAAAAATTGACAAAAGCAACTTTATAAAACGGAAGGGGTTCTTTTGGCTCACAGTTTGAGGGGAGGTTGTGGCAGCGAACTTATGGTGGTCCAGAGCCTGAGGCAGCTGGTCACACAGCATCTGCAGTAAGGAAGGAGAGAGAGAGAGAGAGAGAGAGAGAGAGAGAGAGAGAGAGAGAG